CCACCTCGAGCGCCAACGCACCGTCGAAATAATCGGCCACTGTGCTGGCCGCGGCGGCGTCGACTGCCTTTCCTCTGAAAATCATCCACTGCGCCCCTTCTGGCCAATGTACTCTCGCCCGTATGATGAAGTGCTGCCCGAGGGGCATGGGTGGCGGAGTAGGCGGCTTGGGGAAGTCTGGAACCGGCGACGCTTCGAAGCGCACGCTCGGTGGCCCAGCCGGCGCCGGGACGGGGTCGCCAGGGCTGGAGGGCGCCTCTCGAGCAGAGGTCGTTGGGGCGGTGCGCTCTGGAGTGCGACTCCGGGCCGGGGTGGCGGCCGCCCGCTCCGGCGTGCGACTCCGTGGTGCGGGGCTCCGCCGAGCTCGGCGCCGCAGTCCTGCGAAGAACCCGACTCCTGCTGGGTTGTCGTGGATCGCACGGGCTGCATCGCCCCCAAGGTGTTGCAGGCAGAGCGGGACCCCTGAGGCCATGCCCACCGCTTCCCGGAAACAGGTCACCTGAGAGCACTTCTCGCCGTAGCGCAGGACCATGTAGATTTGCCGGTGATGCTCACAGAGGCAAGCCGTTGCGCTCCCTTCGCTTGGGAGTGGGAGGTCCGAGGCTCGCCCATCCTCCACCAACAGCACAGTAGGGTCCCCGCGCGCAGCGTCCCGACAACCCTCAGGTGCTAGTGGGCGCATCTTGCCCTTGATCATGAGCCCCACCGCCACCGCCTCGCAGGGGTTGTCCTCGGCGTCCACCTCGGACTCGGACTCCTGATCAAGTAGTCTTGCCACTGATCCCTGCACGCCAGGCTCCGCATCGCCAGTCTTGTGACGGCGGCGGCGCCGGCGGCAGAGGCATGCACCACAACATGAGAACCACGAGAGGATGTACAGCAACAACTTGTAGACAAGGCCCGTCCCCCTCCAGAGCCAGACGAAGATTCGGCAGGGTGTGAACTTCGAGTAGTCACCGAGGTCCACAATAGCTTCATTGTCGAGGGCGGCGCACTCCTTGCAGTGCAGCTCGTTCTCGCGCCCCTTGCACCCGGTACAGCTTGAGGAACGGCACAGGTGAAGCCAGCGAGGATCCCGCTGCTCCAACTCGCGCCGGAAACTCTTGTCGCTAGCACCCTTCACAGAATCATACTCTACCCACAATCCTTGGCGATTGATACGTTCAGGAGACTTCATGTTGAGCTTGAGCCGGGCAACCCGGTAGTCCACCCTGATCATGAGGTCGTTCTGGCCGCGCTTGGAGCCCCGGCCTTCCTTGATGCTCTTGCGGTACCAGTCGGTCGTCGGGTCGGCCCCTGTAGTCGGCCCGTGCCACACCACATCGGTGAGCGGCGGCGCCGCCGGCGGGACCAGCTTGTCGAGCTTAACCTCGCCAGGCGTTCGGCGCCTCGGGCAGGGGCAGCACGCCAGCGCCAAGCCACAGGTCCAAGCTGCCCAGCTGCAGGGTGCGAAGAGCGTCCTCAGGCTGTGGGCCAAGAGCGCGACCACCCCAGTGCTGGCGAAGACAACCACGAGCCCGGCGATCAGCGGCCACGCGGAGCCGAACAGGGAGAGGCCCATCTGGTCCGCCATGTACAGCACCCAGCCACCATCTGAGCTCAGCCAGCCTCCTGCCTCGCGAGTCGAGAAGGCTGACCTGAAACTCTCCACGGCCCTGAAGGTACCCCCACCCATCCCCTCGGCAAACCAGTAAGTGCGGTTGCCGATGTCCTTCCAGCTGACGCCGAAAAGACCCCAACCTCTGATCCAGGACGATGGATCCCCATCGGGGGGGTCGGGGGGTGCGCGGGTCGGGCCCTGGGGGGGGGGGCCAGCCGGCGGCGCCGAGCGCTCGCGCGGCGGGCCCCCTCCGCTGCTCCCTGCGGGCGCAGCACGTCCGCCGATGGAGTGGACCTCGACCGGCAGCGCGCCCACATGCATCGAGGAGTCCATGGGCCCGTCGAGCCAGAACTCCTTCATGTCCACGTTCACCTCGTCGTCGTAGTAGACCTCGGTGTCGGGGGCCTGCCCGTGCGTGAGCTCGGCGCCGACCACTCCCACCACCCCCAGGAAGACGACGAACCAGACGGGCCCCAGCGCGCATGCACGCCTCGCCGCCCTTGTCTGGGCTGGAGCGGGAGCCGGCGCTGGCGCGCGCCCGGCTCCCTGCTCGGCGGGGGCGAGCTGCGCCCGCGCCGCGTGCGCTGCTCCGCCGCCCCCAGGTGCTCCGCGGCCAGCGTGAGCCAGTGCCGCTCGGCACCCGGGCTCGCCGCCGCCGCGCAGCTGCGCGACTCGGCCGCGCGGCGCCAGGCGCAGCTCCATGGCTGCGGGCGCCCCCTTCGCGCCCGGACACGGGCGAAGGTCTTCCGGCCCCGTCCCGGGGCCCGGCCTTAGGCCACCTGAGGCCGACCCCCAGCTTGGCCTTTGAAAGGCTTGAGCCGCCGAGCGGCGGAAAGAGGAGAGAAGCGGGAAAGGGCAAAGCAAAGAGGCAAGGGCAGGAGCAAGGGGAACACAAGCGGAAGCCCGCGCCAGTTCTGGAAACGGGGAGATCCATCAGTTTTGCCAAACATCCTACAAGTATGCCTCTGGAAGCCCAGCCGCTGCCAGCAACGCCTTCAAAGACTAAGGCGCGTGATCTGTCTGGAGCACAAGCTCCCGAATAGCAGCGTAAAAAATGCGTTCATGGCATCGGCGAAAAGCATGGCAAAACGCAGTCCAGTCTTCTGTGAGTACTTTTGCAATGCTCTGGCCGCAGGTAGCGCCGGCTGTGTGCCTCTACCGGGTATACCTGCACATGCTGCCCGTTGCATTGCCGGCGTTATTTGCGTCGTAGATGCGCGTGCTATTTCTTGCCTATGTGCGAAGCAACTAGAATTGATATTGCTGCTGCCGTAGTATCCGCATTGCCTTTGGCTTTTGGTATTCTAGGTAAATCGCAGCCTTTCCAGCGTGGTGGTTCTGATCTGAGAAGGCCAGCCTTGGCGGCCAACTTATAGTATGCCCTAGCCAATGTATTAGCTTATGCAAGTACAGACAGACCGCGTAACCCATCAGAACCTCCAACACTATTCTGCGCACTTCTGAGTTCCCGATGAAAAGTCTTGGAGAGTAGGGGTGTTTTGAATGCGCCTGCTTGCCGTGTCCTGCCCCAGACACCAGTAGCAAAAAGGGTCCACATGAAAGCCTGCGGCGCAACCTTTGCCGCTAGCCCCCGCGCAGAAAAAAATGTTCCAGCCGTGGCTCCGTAGCCTGCTGGACAGTAGAAACAAGCTCGCCAGTTGGACCTTCCAAAGCGGGTAGCACCTTAGCCTGGCGATGTCGCTTGCCAGCCGCACCAAGTTTGCGCAGCGCAGCAGACGCATCGCCAAACTCCTGAGCCGACCATAAGTCCCCGATCGAATCAGCCAAGTCGTTGAGATGAGCCCACAAACTCGGAGACAGTGCTCGCACTGTCGCTGCGTTTGTGGGCTTGCACGAATGCCGCTCCTGCGTCTGCCACCTGCGTTCTCCTCGTCCTCGGGGCGGGGGGGGGGTCGGGGTGCGGGGCCGTGGGTGGGGGAGGGATGATGGTGCTGCTCTGCCTGTGCGGCTGCCGCTTCTGCGCCCCTGCATTCTCTTGTCCGCGGTCCGCCCATGTGCGGCCGCTGGCCTGTTGGCCGACGTTGTGCAGCTGGCGGGCTCTTGTCCCGCTGCGCTGGGCCACCGCGCCGTGACGCGGGCGGCGATGGGGCGGCCTCGAGGTGCCCGTCCGCGCGCGCGGTTGCGCGCGCTGTGGGTTCGCCTCTCTGGGGGGGGGGGGGGGGGGCGCGATGCCCGTGGCGCGCGCGCTGCCCATGTGAGGCCGCGTGCCGCGTTTTGTCAGGCCACAAAGCAGCCCACGCGTGGCTCGCCATTGCCAGCAGACTTGGGGTCCTTGCTCGGCGGCCCATGAGTGGCCAATCGTGAACAAAGCAGCCCATGCGCGGCTTGCCTGTGCCAGCAGACCCGGGGGCCCTTGCTCGGCGGCCCACGTGCGGCCGACCTTGTGCCAAACAGCCCACGCGCGGCTTGCCCCGCCCGCCTGGCTTTCGCGCGTCACCCCACCCGGCGCGCCGTTCCGAAGCGCTGCGAAGCGAGGGTTTTGCGCGTCCGCGGGCGACGGCGCCAGGGCGCGCGCGAATATCGCATCGCTTGATTTTATTGTTGCAATGACGGACGAGGCCGCGAAGACCACGTTGGCCGCAGCGCTCCGCAAGGTTGAGGGCGCCGATGGTCGTGATCCCGCCTGGAACACCAAGATTGCCGGGGCGCTGCGTGCAGCTGGCGCGCGAAACTGGCGCGAGCTCGCCGATGCCCGCATCGAGAGACGGGCCTTGACGCTGGCCAAAAGGCCCACGCGCGCAGGGCCCTCGCCGCTGCCGCCGAGGAAGGCGCGGCGAAGCAAGGGGTCGCTGACCCAGGGGCGGCGCTTAAAGCGTTGCTCTCGGGAAAGAAGCCCGACGAGGTGCCGCGCCCGCCGGGGTTGCGCGCGCGGCGATTTCGGCGCCGCGCAGGCGGCGCACCTCGAGTTCGCCAGCATGGTGTCCGACATCAGCGCGAAAGGATTGCCCGCGGAATGTTGGCCCAGGCGCTCGCGCATGTTCGCGCGCGGCGCAGTTTCGGCGTCGCCCCGCGCGCAATTCGCACCGCGTGGACGAACTGGCCACCGAGGCGGCCAAGCTCAAAAAGGTCGGCGTTGCCTCGCCGTTTGTGCTGGTCGATTTGAAGAAGTGGCTTCCTGAATCCGCGGCTCTCAAGGAAGTCCCCCAGGAAGAGGGCAAAGAGAACAACCTCTCCAAGTCGCGCTGGTTTCGATCGAACCCGCGCAACGCGTTGCTTTTGCTGGAGGATCTTCTCGATCTGGCCAACGCCACCAAGGCCAACGGCCAAGAGGGAAAGTGCAAGACGAGGGTGAATCTGTCGCAGTGGCAGGCAGCATGGAACGGGCGCCGCGGTCGCGTGAAGCAGCGCCGCCGCGAGATTACGTTTGCGTTTCGCACAGGTACGCGCTGGCGGCGGCCGCGACTGGCCAGCCCAGCCTGGCGGCGTCGTGGGCGCATCGCGAGATTTGCTCGCGCGTGGCCATGAATGCCCACGCGCACATGCGCCGCGCTCACTTGGCAGTTTACTACGACCAGGCCCAGCGCGCAGCGTGCGCCGGGGATGCGCAACCGCTTCTGACCTGCGAGCTCGCGCGGCCCATGTGGGCTGAACGGACGAGGGCCGGCGAGCATGATTTCAACGCGGAAAAGGCGGCGGTGAAATTCAGCTCGTGGGTCTTGCGCCGCGGAGGGCACGACGGGGCGCGCTGCGCGCGGGCAGTTCGCGATGCCCTTGCGCCGCGCAGGCCGAGGGCGCGCGTGACCTCGATGAGAAAGAATCCCGACGCGGGCTCAGGGGGCGGCAGCAAAGGCGGGGCAAGGGGTTCCAGCAGCAGCGGCAAAGGCGGAGGTGCGCAGAACGACCGCCGCGGCTCGTGGTCGCGCAGCAAGACCGCAGCACGTGGTCGAACGGCCGCTCCTCGTGGTCCTCTGGCGACCGCAGGCCGCGCGCGCCGCCTGGGCCCGCCGGGGGCCAGGTGGCCGCAAGCCGCGCGCGCCGCCCAGGCCCGCCGAGAAGGCGCGCAGCGAGTGGCCCTGAGGCTGTGGGCTGTGCTGCCCGCGAGTGGCGCGGCGCCCATGTGCGCTCTCGCAATGGCCTCTGCCGCGCCCTCTCTCAATTTCGCGTTTGTATTGCAATCATCCGACGCGCGCTTCAGCACCGCGGCGACGCGGGGGTCGGCGCGCCCGCGGGCGGTGGCGCCAGGGCGCGCGCAACGCTTGCATCGCCTGGTTTTATCTTTGCAATCATCGCACGATGTGGCAGCTGCCAGCTCCCCCGCGGCCGCTGGGGACCCGAAAAAGGGAAGGGATCCCGCGGCCGACGTCGCCGCCCCGCGCATGGGCGGCTGGGGCCAAGCGCAGCCGCGCGGGCAATCTGGCAAATCGCTTCAGCCAGGACGGGGCGTTCCGCGCAGCGAGTAGCGACGCAGCGCGTGCGCGTCGCGTGCAAGCGCCGAATCAATCCGCAGCGAACAGTGAATTGTTGGAATTCGCCGCAGGGGCGGTCGGCGAGTCTGTTGCTTTTTAGGAGGAGTACAGCTTGCCTAGTGAGGTGTCTGAGGCTATGAGCTGGGTCACCGCGCGGGCGGCTGAGCAGGTCAACGCAGATCGCGAGGCCATCGCGCGCCAAATAAAGTTTGAGGCCGGAGATTTGGTATCCAGCGGCGCGGCGGCACGTTGGATGCTCTCGGCTAGCCCAGAGGTGCGCAGCGTAGCAAAAAGCGTGAACGGTCCGCTGCTGGAGAGGCTCGCGCACAGAGCGGGGTTCGCGGATCTGGCGTGCATCGAATTTTTTTCAGATGGGGCGCGCCCGCAGCGGGGCCGCTGCCTCCCTCTGGCTCAGGCGCGCCGGCGGCGCGCGACAAAGCTGCGCGGGTCGTCGATCTCTCGAGATCGGTAGCGAAGGCCAACGCGGCAATGTTAGCTTCTTTGCGCGAAGAAAAGCATGCGAGCGAATTGCTTCGCGTCGCCGCGCAGGACGTCGCAGCGGGGCGCATGCGCGAGCTGTCCAAAGTCGGCGACCTCGATTTAAGCTCCGTAATTCTCTCACCGCGATTCGGGGTCGAGCAGGGGAAGCCGGACGGCAGCGTCAGAGTCCGGCCGATTGATGACTTGTCGCGGTCAAAGCTCAACATCTGCACTTCTGTGGCCGAGAAATTCCGCCCCGAGGGCGTGGACCTGCTCTTCGAAGCCTCCAGGCGCTTGGCGCTGGAGACCGAAGAGCCCATCGCCTTCTCCAAGGCAGACGTGGACTCCGCCTTCAGGCGCGTCCCGGCGTCGCCTCTTCACAGCGCGCTGCTCTACATTGCCTTCTTGGTTCAGGGTGTGGCGCACTCAGCGCGGCATTGCGCCGCGCCGTTCGGGGCAATCGCTCCCGTTCGCGCATGGGAGCGAGTGGGAGCTTTAATCTCGCGTGTCGCTCGCGCGGTGCTGCACGTGCCCCTGCTGAGGTTAGTCGACGACCTCTTCGCTGCGGAGCGGAGAGGATCGGCGGTGCACGCGCTGCGCTGTGTAGCACGTCCGGCGCGTTGCATGCTTGGGCGCGAGGCCACTGCGCCGGCCAAGATGGGCCGGGGATTGCAGCTGCAAGCGCCCGGACTCAATGCGAGCGCGGATCGGCAAGGTTTCTCACGTGCACCTTCCGCGGATAAGGTCGTCAAGTGGCGCTCGCGAGTTCGCAACGCTTTGAACAGCAACTCGCTGCGCCCCGGTGACGCTTCCAAGCTCGCCGGAGCCCTGCGATGGGCGTCCACAAATATGTTCCATCGCCTGGGCAGGGCCACCATAGTGCCCCTGCACCGTCAAGCCAGACAGAGTCGGGCCAACGTGTCCGAGCCACTCCGCGACGCTCTCCGCTGGTGAGACGAGGTCATTGCCGTTGAATTGCACCAAAAGAAGCAGTGGCTCTGCCCCAGCGGCCCTCCGGTCCAATTATTCGTGGATGCGAGGAGCACTCCGCCGAGAGTGGCGGCGGTGCTCATGCATGATGAACAGATCTACTTTGCCGACTGGGAGCTGCCCCGCAGCTCGATGAGCTGCTTTAAGCAGCGGGCGGACGGGATGATCATGTCCCTGGAGCTGCTCGCAATTGCGCTCGGGCTTTGCACTTTTGATCGCTTCTTGCGGCGCCGGAAGGTCAGGGTGTGGAGCGACGATGTAGGCGCCGAGACCGTGACCAGCAGGGGGTCGTCCAAAGAATGGGACTACTCCTGCCTGGTAAACTGCCTGTGGCTCAAGGCAGCCGAGCAGCAGATCGCCCTGCGGGTGGACAGAGTCTCCTCCAAACTCAACATCGCGGATCTCCCTTCTCGCGAGGAATATGACTTGCTTTGCTCGGCGCTGTGTGCGTGCCACCCGTGCTCGACGGTCCCTTCTGGGAACCCACGTCGTGGTCAGCCCTGTCGGCGGCGACCGCGCAGCTAAAATGAAGGCCGCCAGTGCTGCCAGCGAGCATCGAGCGAAGACGGCGCAGTGGGGTTGGCCGCGGCTCGCGCGGCGCCACAGCTGGCACCTGCGCAGGGCGTCGGGGATCGCGCGGCGCACGCGCAGTCCGCCGACCAGTGGGCGCGCGGCGGCTCTTCGCAGCCATGGGCGTGACTCGCGCGGTGGCGTCGCCGCATGTTATTGAATGTTTGCAATCGCTGGCCCCGGCTCGCGAAGCGAGGGACATCGCGTTTGCTGCGGCGATCTTGTCCGCCAACGGATTCCGGGCCATCGAGGAATTGGTCGAGGCTTGCGCGTCCGACCTGGACGGCCAGGGGCGCCCTCTCGGGTTTGGCTCGTGCTCCCTCATGGCGGAGCTCATTCGCTTCGCCCAAGCCAGGCGGCGGACCGCAGGCGCCTTTCTCCCGGTGCCCGTCGCTCGCCGCGGGCACCATTGCTGCGCAGGCACGCGCGGCGGGGGGCGGCCCGCGGCGGCTCTGCGAAGGTCTCGCAGCCCAGTGCGAGGTGAGGCGAGGCCGCTGTCGGCAGCATCATTCTATATCCTGAGCACAGTTGAGGGCGCCATCGCCACGGCGACAGCCGGCGAGGGGGATGACATCGCACTGGCGGCGTTGCGCTCAGGCAAAGGTCCGCGCGCCGCTACAGCATCGCTGCAGAGCCAACTGCGCGCGCCAGCGGCTCGCGCCAATTGGGTCGAAAGGGAGCGCGCGCGGTCGCTGCTGGGCTCGTGACCCCGGTCCATTGCGAGGGCGCCCTGGGCCTTGGCGGCGCCCAGATTCCGCCCGCCCTCGATTCTCTATTGGCATGGGCGCCCCCCTTTCGGTGCAGCGGGAAGTTCGCAAATTATCTGAGCTTCGTGCGCGCCGCGTGCATGCTCTGCCGCGCGAACACGGCAGTGTTCAAGGCGCCCGAATTAGCGCGAGCTCGCACTGCTATCAGGCGGTTGCGGGGCGCGCAGGGCGGTCGCGCCCAGGTCGCGCGGTCTGTCGGCGCGCGCCGCGGAGGAAGCGACGGCTGTTTGTCCCACGCAAGAAGATGCATATCACGCACGGCATGGTCGCGCGCATGTTGAAACTAGCTTCGCGCGACGCCGAACTGAGAGAGACGCAAGTAATGCGCTTGCTGGCGTATAGTTTCTTGCTGCGCGTCCCATCGGAGGCAATCCCATGCGTGCGGGGCGCGACCGAGCCCGTGGGCGGAGTGCAGTCCTGCCTGTGCGTCGCCGGGGACGAACTGCGGCTGCGTTTGGCCAGCAGAAAGAATGCGCCGTCGGGCGCCGAGCTGGTCCGCGGTTGCTGGCGCGCAAAGCATCCAGAAACTTGCCCCGTGCACGTGCTCGGCAACATTGCAGCGACGCGTGCCTGGTGGCAGAAATTGTTCCGGAGCTTAACGCCTGGCAGGGCGCTGCGGATCCTGCGGGGGATACTGGCCATGTTGTCTGTCTTTGAGGCACAGCTGTATCGGTCCCATGACCTGCGCCGCGGCCGCGCGCAGGCTCGGGCCCCACACTCGTTCGCGCGCTGCGACCGCGGGGGCGCGCGGGACATGCTTGAAGGTTGCAGTCGCCTGGGGGCGATTCTAAAGGCTGGGCGGTGGTGTTCGCCTGCGCTCCTGCAGCGCATTGATACTCGGGACCTCGAATCCGGCGCCGTGCTGGAGGCGCGGTGCGTTCCGCATTTAGGCGGTTCGTAATGCGCTCGTCGCTCGCAGGCGCATTTGGACGACTCTTCCAGCGGCGACTCCTCATCCGATTCATAAGTCCTGGCGGCGCATCGAGCCGCAGCGCACTGGGGCGCCCTCCGCTTGGGAGGTCAACGCAACGTGGCGTCGCGCCTTGCCTCGCCATTGCAGGCGCACGCAGCGGGGGGCGGTGCGCCTCTGGGGCAGGCGCCGCCCGAGCCACCGGGGCCACGATCTGGCGCCGGGTTCTTCGCGCACCTGGCGTCTCGGGCGTCGCTGCGACGCGCGTCGGGGCGACGCTCGGGGCGCCGCGCCCCGTGTCTGGGGAGCGGCGTTCCCTTGGGCCGCGGAGCGGGCCTCGGCATCCCTCTGCCCTCCCAGGGCGCGCGACGCGCGGGGCTGGCATTTGTGATGGGCCCGCAAACTCGGGGACAGTGCTTGCGCTGTCGCTGCGTCTGTGGGCTTGCGCGAATGCCGCTCCTGCGTCTGCCCTGCTCCCCTGCCTTCTCCTCGTCCTCGTGGCGCGGGGGGGGTCGGGGTGCAGGGCCGCGGGTGGGGGGGGGTGCTGGTGCTGCTCTGCCTGTGCGGCTGCCGCTTCTGCGCTCCTGCAATCTCTTGTCCGCGGTCCGCCCGTGCGCGGCCGCTGGCCTGTTGGCCGACGTTCCGAAGCTGGCGGGCATTTGTCCC